AGCCTCAAGGTAGTTTTTAAACTACTTTTTCAAAACAGAACGTCTCACTACAGCACTAATAAAAATCATTCCAAGATCTATTTGTAGCTTTAAAGCACTTTCAATGTTCGCTATGCAGAAAGATCTCACTTCTGACGAACTTTGCTTAGAGGCAAAATATGTAATAGTTATTTACTGCGAAATCAGAGATATCATCAGGGGCCCCGTGGGGGTCCTGAGAGTTATCGGCGATTTGAGAAGTAAATAACTGATATAAAATCATGTGTTACTGATACGTCACTATTAGTAAAAATCAGACTTTTACATTAATGAATGAAATTTCACGGTATTACGGTATTACGCAATAGTGATCTTTTATTAGAAAATTGATCTCCGATAATAGATTTAGTAAAATATTAATATGCAGTATCACGGGCGAACAATTAGTAAACGGGGAATATAATAAAATATATCCCGTCTATTAGATCTTGCAAGAAGGTAACTAGAAATATTTTGTTTAAGAACTTTATTATGTTATATTAAATAAATTTTGTTTAATTTGAAATAGGTACGAGTTCTTTAATGGTAAAAAGACCGAGTTTAATGTTTAAGTTTGGTTCGCTCCTTTAGTATGTTTGGGATTATTAATTGTATTACATTATATCTCGTAGATTCTTAAATGATCTTAGGCTTACTAGTAATAAGCGTATCTATCTATTCTCTAAACATATGTGATAAATTCTTTTAACGTTACAAATTATGCAATTTTTGATTGGGGGAAATCACGGGTAGATCTATAAAAAAATTAACCAATCAAAAAACTTCTGCTTACCTTAACTACTACTATTACTCATAACCAATCATACGAATGTCCGACTATGAACCTAACCACTTTCGCGGGTTTCTGTCGCGGGTTTCACCCTGTCGTATTATTTTATAAACGGGTGATAACCCGGAGCTCAAATTTTGTACCGGGTACAACTTCTAACACTACTTCAATAATGTCCTTGATTAACAAGCCAGCTCCTACGAACCTAATCCTGAAAAATCAGGATGGGGAAGATGTTTGCATTGGTGATTTTATTGGCAAAAAGCCAACTATTGTATTTTTTTATCCTAAAGACGAAACATACGGATGTACTAGAGAGGTATTACTTTATATAAGTTTTATTTATTTTATTTTAAAATAATTATGAATTAAGAGATATATATACTGTTTTTGATTATTGATAGGCTTGCTCTTTTCGTGATTCTCATTCTATTTTTTCTGAAGCCGGTGCAGTTGTGTTTGGTATTTCCGCTGATCCACCCGAAAGTCACAAAAGGTTTGCTGAAAGACAGAATTTACCCTACCAATTGCTATCTGATTCGAGTGGCGAAGCAAGAAAAGCTTTTGAGGCAAGAGTTCTATTTGTCCTATTATAGTTTATTTTCTAACTATTTAATATTGTGAAAAAACGTTAATTATTCATAATTTGTTTTTAAACTTAGGTTCCAAAAACATTAGGTCTCATAGCTGGTCGTGTAACTTACCTCATCAATAAAGACGGTATCGTTGAGGATATCTTTAATTCTCAACTTGATTTCGAGGGTCATTCTAAAAAAGCTGTGGAGTTCATTAAATCTCATGTATGAAAACATTACTGATGATTCTAAATAGCTGTTGTTATGTGTACATGTATATTCTTTCTTGTTTAAACTAGTGATGCTCTGATTTATTCATTAGCAATTTCGATATTTTATTAAAAACGAGATGTAACCTGTCACTTCGCTGACAATTTTAAAATTATGTATTTTAAAATATAATATCTAATACAAATAACAAAAAAGAAATATAATATCTAATACATATAAACTAGAATAGCTACGCGACTACGTCGCGCTCAAACCAGGAACGTAGCATGAGTTCTTCTGACTCTTTAATGAACTTATTTTACCATTAAAAAATAAATGATATCGTAATTTGCAACGAACAGTAGCCCAGTTCCTTTATTCTTAGGTCTCGGAAATAGTTAGTATCTCTTTATAACTGATAATTTACCATTTAATTTGACAACATTGACAGCAAATGAGTACTTTAACAAGAGGGTACAGTTTTAGTCCATCTATCAATTTATTTACTTATTAGTAAGTCCATTTAATTACGTACGTATACATTATCCGATTGGTGGTATAATTTTGAAAAGGATCATTAGCACGTATGAATTCTGTGCCAGATTATGTCGATCAAGTTTACTGACCCAAATTTCATTTGGGGATCAGGTAGTAATTTATATGTGTCACGTGAGTTTTGCTTTACAAATTTATTAGTAATCAATTTAAAAACTACATGGCTTTAGACGATCTTCTTATTTGGGAATGCTATTGTAAAATAATTCTGTCACATTGTGTATGTCAGGTTGAAAATTTTATATATAATTTAGAGTACTGTTATTTATACTACCATTTTTGCTATTTACATTATGCGAAATACTAGTTTTTTTAATTATAATTAAAATCTTTAGTTAAAAAATGGTTTAATAATTTTTTAATTAAAATTTATAACTAAAAAAACAAGTTTATTAAAAAAAAACTAATAGAATTTTAGCATTTAACATGTTATAAATAGTAAAAATAGAATTTGAGTTTTATAACTTAGTAAATAAGTTTTCAAATTTTCTACAAACAAGATTAATAATTTGAGTTAGATTAAAATCAGTTTTATTTTATTTTTTTATTTTCAGTATTAAGGTAATCTTTTTGGTCTTAATTTTTTTATTAATACTTATATTAGGTATATGTTTTATATAGATATATTCATATTAAACTATTAGACAAATATACAACTAGTTATACATATAACTTTTCTATATTACCTATTTAAGAAGTCCATTTAAAGGTTTTTTACCAGTTGTTATATCTAATACTTCTGCTTAAATATTCTATTTAAACTCTCTAATCTAATCTTGGTATTAATTTCATCAGATCACAGATTTAGATTTTTTCATCTTTAATTATAGAACTATAATCCTTAAACTATTTTTATCTTTAAAATAAACCTATCAGAATGAGTTGTATTCTCTTTTTACTACTAATCTGATTTGATATTATGATTGAAATTAACATTTGCAATCAGAATTATTTATTAAACTGCTACTATTTTTATAAAGTTCATTTAAATCTTGATATTCATCTTTCTAGATATCTTCTCTATCATCTCTTACTAACTGTTATTCAAAATTGATAGAATTTTTCAGATTACCAATTTAGATAGCCCAGTATAATATACTAATATATTTTTTTCTTCCAATAATTCTGGCAGCTAATTGGTGCATATATTTTCTTTACATATTTATTGTTTAATTTATTTAATAATTTTTTTAAGAATATTTTATAGGTTTTCATTAGATCAACAGCATTATTAAAAATTTATGTTATCTTTTTATTTGAAATTTTTAAGTAGATTTTCATCTCCTTAGTTTTTTAGTTTTTTATAGTTAATGGTTTTATCATAGGTTTGCATTAAAGTCTTATACAACATCATTTTTTTATATTTCTTTATATATATATAATATTGTAATAGAATTTTTTTTTCTATATTAGTATATATTTATTTTTAGCTCTATATTATATTTTATAATTTTCCTAATATTTTTACATA